CTACTACTATTACTACTACTACTTTACTACTACTACTACTACTACTACTACAGCTGCTTTTGCTGCTGCTGCTACTATTACTAGTACTAACATCATTACCCACAAAAAATACTACCAGTAGTAAAACAGGAACAGCAAAAATATGAATGTCAATAGTGGCAAGAAAATAACAACAAGTAATGTTTCTATCATTACCGTCAATCATTGTTATAGTATAACTGTCTACAGACATACATACACACATACAGCTTCTTCTCCCAGACGCAGCGAAATCCGTTCGCCTAGGGCCTAGCTGTCGTATCAGCGCCGTCTTGTACAGACATACATACATACATACATACATACATACATACATACATGCATAGGTCCTGCTGCTGCTACCACTGCAACAGCCAATACTATTGCTGCTACTACTACTACTACCACCACTGCGACTACCACTACTACTACTACCACTACTACTACCACCACCACAACCACGACTACTACTACTACTACTACTACTACTACTACTACTGCTACTGCTACTACTACTACTACTACTACTACTACTACTACTACCCCTACTGCTAACATTACTAATACTTTCAGAAATAGCTCCTAATGAAAGTCATAGCAATATCAATAACAGTATCAGACAAAAGGTTCATATCAGTCAGGACAATAATAACAATATTAATGGCAGCAGTTACTATTTTTGTTCTTATTATCATCACTGTTCCAGAAGAACTATCTATCAATATGTATACGCACATATACATACTTACATACATACGTATATATCCGGAAGGAGGTGGCGACGGAGAGCGGTCTTCAATTTATTGAGGAGTTGCGCCGTGCGGCCAAGAAGGTTGTTGTGGAGGAGTCAGACGAAACGATTCAGCAGATAGACCTGTGAAGCACAGCACGGAGCTTGCTGTTTTAACTAGTTTAGTTTAGCTCTCACTCCTCTACTGGGAGGTTCATCCATATAACCCAAGTAACCATCCTTGTCGTGCAAATACACTTCAGCCAGCATGTATGGGCTCTGTTTACGACTATCTCCGAACCTCCCAGTTTTGAATTGGGCCACGAGCAAGGCCCAGCCATTTTTTTGCTTCATTCCTTGCAAGTCCTTTCCGAGCTGGTGCAAGGTAAGCAGAGTAGGCTCTCTTGGGCGGCCTGCCGGCGAAGCCGTTGCAGTCATGAGTGCCCTTGTGTGTGGAATCTGACGACATTGTAAGCATCAAAAAACATTTGCTCTTGCATTGCCGCAGTGTCAGAGCAGTGGCTGGCAAGAACACTGAGGTTGGCCAAGTAGCATGCAACAGGGTACCGACATTTTTTCTTGACTACATATCACGCAGCTGTACACGCTCCATACCATATTGTCCTGTGTGTATTTCTCTCTACCTATCTCATGTCTCTATCTCCATCTCCGTACCCATATGTCTATCTGTATCTCATCTGTATTCACATGTACGGTTATGCAGGTACGCACACACGCACACACGCGCACGCACACATGACGGCAGACCGGTAATCCCCTCCTCTCGGAGGTGTCCATGTTGCCAAGCCAAGCACCTTCAGCCCATCACCCTAAACCCTAAACCCTAAACCCTAAACCCCTAAACCCTAAACCCTAAACCCTTAAACCCAATGAGACCCGAAACGCTCCCAGAAACTGTGAGAAAGCCCAAAGTCCTAAGCCCCAAAAGGTTTAAGGTTTAGGGTTTAGGGTTTAGGGTTTAGGGTAGGCCACAAAGCTCCATGAAGCCACCCAAGCATACCGATCCCCCCAGCATCCTCAGGTTTCGATTTTGCATGCCTGAGCCTTAAGTGCTGGGCCTTGGTTTCGGTTCAGGGTCTGTGCACGCACGAGGCTGTAGGTTTAGGGTTTAGGGTTTGAGGTTTTGGTGAAACATAGAAGCCTGAATCTGAATATTGTTCCTTAATCAGGGCTTCTTGTCGGTATGATTATAATGGAACATACCCAGAAGTCTGTTTTATTCTTTGCACTCCCGGACCGCAGTTTAGAGCAAAACAGAAAGCCCGGGTGACCAGTCCCCATCCGGGAATTTCGGGCGCGAAACTAGAACCGAATTTGTTGTCTTGTTTTGTTTATAACCTTTGGGGCAAGATAGAACCATAAGCGGGAGTTAGAATCAAACTGCTTCGACAACTGGAGCTGTTGCCAAGGATTTTCGATCAGAGTCAACTTTGTCGTTTCTTCCCGGTGCAAAGGTTCTACCAACGGCTGTTTTTGGTAGCTTTAATTAGGCTTAAAGTATGTTAGGGTTTGGATTTGACGGTTCCCGGCTTGGGGGTGAGGGTGATGTTCAGCGCTGCTCTGTGGAGGTTTAAGGCTTTGGGTTTAGCACTTTATCCTTAGTGGCTGAGTGGGTATCCTTTAACTTTGTGGGGTTTATATGATCCTACCATAACTGATAAAGGTCGACCTTGTTGGGGCTAGGATACTCAGCCCCTCTGCATCAGCTCCTTCAACAGCGTGTCCATGCTTTGCTGATTGGGGGGTGCTCGCCAATGCCCACGAAATCAATAGGTGCCCCTCCTATCCCTCCAAGGACTTGGGCTTCGCCAAGAAACCCTAAGCCCCACAACCCCAAGCCCGAAACACGGAGAAATCGCAAATGCCCACGAGGATATCGTACATAGAGGAAATCGCCCATGCCCTGCGATTTCTTAATTTCCTATCCAGCCTGCGAAGAAATCGCAGATGCCCACGAAGCTGGCCGAAATCACAGCCCGCGAAGACTTTAAGGTTCCAATTCATAGTGACAAAGGGTGCTTACTGGGGTTTAGGGTTTAGGGTTTAGGTAATATATAGTGAAATGATGAGCTGATGAGAAAGTACAGTAAGGTTAAAGCAGTTCTTTTCAAGTGATGGCTGGAGCCTTAGTAGCCAGGGCGACACGTTCTTCCAACACAGATGGAGAAGACCCTGAAAGCATCTTCTGAGATTTGTTGGCACTTCAATGCAATGAACAGTAATGAACTCGGTTTAGGGTTTAGGGTTCAATGAACCCTAAACCCTCAACCCTCACCCTGAACCATGATCCCGAGACAATAAGCGCCCTTGTTCAGAAGTACCCGTAAGCCAACGTTCTATGGAGCTGCAAGGCCCCCAAGAGCTCAGGATGTGGGTTAACCAGCAACCTGTGGCTATGCAGGATATCCCGTTTGAAGCTTTGGGATGCTTCTGACCTAGTTGTTCTTGTGCTTATACCATCTTCTAGGTCGAGATTTTTGGCGTAAGGGGTATATAGGGCTCTCTGGGTATCCAATAAAGCCCCATGAAATCCGATATAAACCTGACAGGGCTTGAAAAGCCAAGATCCGAACAACAACTGCATCAACTCTCCCTACCAGCAGAACCTGTAGTGAAACTCTGTTCAGCTGTTTCAAAGCTTTAAGCTGACTGGAAACAATTTCAATCCCCTTTCAAATACTGTACTCTGTATCGACCCTGCATCGTAGGTTCGTCCTAGCCAGGCGGGAGGCAAACCAAATTCCCTTTTAAAGAACACGGTGAGGGCACGAACTTTGGTTAGTTCCTTGTACCCTGCGTTCTACATCTTGTCCGAAGTATCTCGATTTGTGCTTTCTGTAAGTGTAGAGTCGCTGTCAGAGACTTCAGTTCTGTATCGAGCCGACCTGCACCTATGGAACCTCGCCTGGCTTGTGCGAGTTGCGAGACCCTAAACTTTAGACCCTAAGCCCGAAACCCTAAACCCGAAAACCCTAAGCTAAACCCTAAACCCTAAACCCTAAACCCTAAACCCTAAACCCTAAACCTAAAGGTCTTAAGACCCGGGGAGAACTTCGGCAACCTCCTGCGCACGGGCTCGGAGTTCTTTGGCATCGAGCACGCCCAGCTCCTGCTGTCACTTGGCATTTTAGGGTTTAGGGGTTTAGGGGTTTGGGGGTTTAGGGTTTAGGGTTTAGGGTTTGGGGGTTTAGGGGTTCAGGGTTTTAGGGTTTAGGGGTTCAGGGTTTAGGGGTTTAGGGGTTTAGGGTTTTAGGGTTTTAGGGTTTAGGGGTTTAGGGTTAAGGGCTCTTGGGGTAAAGGGCGTAGGCTTCCGCAGAAGTAGCAGTCGTCGT